CGTTTTTAATGGGAAAAAATTTACGGTGAAGATAACAATTGAAGCTGAGTAGTACCTTTAATAAGTGAGTAGATGTTAAAACAGTTGTTTCATATACATCCCATTCTTACATCCGGACTTTATCTTTTAATAACTTCCAAGGCAAATTCTTTTAGAATTTTTATTCAACAGTATTTTTTTTTCTTTCTGCCCTATGTTTCAAAATTTTTGACTCGTTTTTACTCATTTGCTTATGTTGCTTATCTATTATGCCTTAAAGGTCCGGTTTCGTGGTGTTTGGACTCATCTGCCGTATTTGGAAACAGCGATAGCGAGTCTACACTGCCTGAGAAGATGTCGCTGAGGGGGAATAATCTTGCTCAGCTTTCTGTCACCGAATTGGCAATGTATGACTGCCCATCCACACATCCCTCAACTGCTGATTTTGGTGGTGTGGACGAACATGAGCCTGAGTGGGTGAAAAATATCGAAATGACCGTGGATGTTAAATCTGTGGATTCTTCTAATTTGGTATGTTTTGCTGTCGGCAAATTCCAAAACAACTAGCACTGAATGCGGACTGCAAGGCTTTTTAGCGTTTGCTGGTGAACACTACGTGGTCGCAGATAGTGCTGCTTTTATAATAAAAATCAGAGATACGATTTCGCAGTTTCCTGACAGTTCATTTAAATAATAATGGTATTTTTGACTGAGCAGTTATTTAAGAGGAAGTAACTTTTGAAAAAAAGGAGCCATCGACAGACTTGCCAGCAAGCATTTGCTGTTAGAGCAGCTCAAGCTACTTCCGAGTGCCTTCTCTGACAAAAAATGAATAAGGGTAGAATTTTGTTTTAGTTTATTTTTTAGTAAAGGATAAGAACAAGTTGGTTGGTTTAATTAGGAGGTTTACTGATTTAAACGTAACAAATCTCACATGTGCAGTCAAGTCTGGGAAATCCTGGACGAGATTTTCTGCCCATTTGTAAATATTTTCCAGTCCAGTACACTGTTCACACGATTAAAAGATATCTTGAGCATTATAATTTATTGCTGACTAAAATGATTGCAGCCAAAATAGCGGCAAAAGACGGTTTCAGAAAACCGAATGTGCGGATTACGTACGTCCGTTTGTACAGAAGAGCGAAGCACCGCTCATCGAAAATGGAATTGAGCCTAAAAGTCTACAAGAAAAAGAACAGGGAATACCGGTGACAGATCTGAGGAATGATGGGCCATGT